AGGCGCGCAAGCCATCACCACGTTAAGGTGCAGTCTCGTCGTGATGGCCCGGAAGGCGTACGATTTGGTGAACTGGACACCGGCCCCCAATGGAGCTCCGTTCTGTTGTGTTGCAGGTCTGGTCTTAAGCCAAAGGCTTCGGGTGGGGAACCGAAGGTTAACCCTTGCTCGGTCAGGGCAACCCGGGAGTAACATGTCCACAACCTATGAACACATTCTTCAGATTTCTGTTTGTTCATTTGTTGTAGCAGATTTACCAGTTCTCTACAATTAGTTAAGGGTTGAAATAACTATAAAAGAATAATAACAAAATATGACGGTAAATAGGTTTCAAGAGGTGACGAACACGCACGCACACACAGACAGACAAACACACGGTAGGGTTTGGCTTAATCCAACCAACTTTTAAAGAATTCGATTTACTCACTTTTCATCTGGTGCACTAATCACATCCGTTCGGGATTCCGTGGTCTTCGACTGCTCACCACTCGAACGGAAGGAATTCGGTCGACTGGTTCGTGACACATGGAACATGGTGTCTTCTTTTTCGGTGGATGTAGACGGCTTGGGATCAGGTTCAACGACAGACTTTTTTTTCGGGACTGAATCCAAACGAGTGACCAATGTCGGGGAATGTGTCGCGCCCAGGCGCTCGACCGGGATCGATCGTACCTGATGCGTGGCTGACCCGCCAACGGGCGAAGGCGAGTGGATTACCGGGATTTGGAATCCAATCGTATCGGTAGATGGACCACTGGTGGATGGGGTACCCGGGAACAGTTCGGAGGTGAGTATAGTTTCAGCCGGTGTGGTTGGTTTGAAAGGAGAGTGCGGTTGGATGGAATGATATACTTCGACTTCTGGTTGAAACTCACGAACCACGTGAGTTGTGCCCAGATCTTTGGCGCGAACCAATATGGCATCCAACGCTTCCGGTCCTCCACGAGACAGTTCTTCCAGATCCACATCACTGGGAAGTAAATGTCTCTCGGATAATTCATCAACCATACGCCGTTCCGTGGATACGGTATAGCTTTCAGATGAGCCACTCGTGTTTTGCCAGTACGGAGCAGATTGACGAAGACTATCTGAGATACGATGCTCACCGGAAGTGCCTTCACGTCGTGAAGGAATTATGTTGGGTTCAACGACCTCTTTATCTGTAAGTTGTTCTTTCTGTGTGAAATGAGTAAACAGAAAATGAGATTCGAAAGAATAATGAAAGGGCATCTGGAGATATGTATTTGTTCATGACCACATGAGGCCCTCATTCCTCACTACTCGACGATGATGGAATTAGCTCTGTACCCTTGTCTACGGTAAAATGATCGATTTCCAAAATTGGTACGGGTCGATACCAGGCTGGAAAAAAACGCGACTCGAGTTATTATCCTATGGTTAACAAATTCTCAAAATCGCATTGTATAAAAGCTATGGAAATGAAATAAAAGGAAACAATCGATAACTATCTACCATACACAAGAAAAAAATGTACGGTTTGGCAATTAATCAATGCCAGTTCATGCCCCGCTTTGGTTTTGTATTTTCGTGTGGTGATTTAGATTGCTGTGTCTGTTAGTTTCTCATTTCGAACTGGTGTTTAGGTAGAACACTGACCTACACTCAGGAATGCTCTCTTTGCCGAAACGCGTTTCCCCAAGGGTGTTGAGGAACAGATTACATGAAGACAAGGTATGAGGAAATGCACAGAGCTATTAAGTAGAACAGGTGACCCGCTCGCCTGATAACCAGTGAGCCACAGTTACAATGCGCATAGGGCACATTCGGTCAGTGTGCAGGGTATGCATGAACTATTACAATCTGCACCGAATCCTACAGAACAAATCAGTAAGTAACCGACTGCCGATCAACTGATGCATGGAATACAAGCCATATCTATTAAACTTTTTTAAATGGAACGGTGCATTTTTCGGAGACGAGGAAACGGTTAATCCTCACACCGTCCTGATGGATTTATGCATGATCAGCCTACGAGCAAGGTAGAGTTTAGTTGTCAAACCAACAGCGGAGCTCTGCATTGGTAAATTTTTCTATTGGAAAGTCACAATTTGCAGAAATCGACTGGAATCAGTCGTCTGACTTTTATGTGAAAACCCCCCTCCCTCCAACAACAACAACACCGGAACATCGCATCGGAACTACGATTTAAAAAACACCGCCTCCATACATACAGTAACCTCACTAGAACGTGCCTCGTGCACTGAAATCAATCGGTGGCCCGGATTTGAGTCCGATTAAAAACACGCCTAGATGTGCATATTGACGAGGTGGATTTAGGCGAATGAAAAGGTATATCATGCTGTCCACGACTCAGGAAATTATTTGTTCAGGCTATTTGCAACCGAATCGAATTTGCATCTGACCATGATATTCTTGTCTGGAACAAGAACGCGATGTATTTTGTTGCCACTGGGAGCTATGTACATTAATTTATTCGGGTGGGGTTGATGGCGCATACTTTTGAGGCTTAGCAACGGGTTGAATGAAATTCATTTGATTTTCCTGTGTGGACACAACAGCATACTCAATTTGACCAATCTGATTGTTTTGATAAACTGGAAAATAGATCGAAATTCGGGATGGGTGAATAACATGTTGTACTATAAATTCCCCAGATTGGAGCAACAATTCGGGGTCAACAATTGTTCCCCTCACGTACAGATGCGGACATGCGAAGTGAGTGACTCTCTTGTGAGTGTATTATTCTATCCTCGGTGTCACATTAGTACATTTGATCGATCGCATAATTTGGATGACGATTCGAGCACGCTGAAAGCTATCACAAAAGTCTGTTCTAGCTCGCGATGATTATGTGGAAGTTTCTTATTCGAATCTACGGTACGTTAGGCAAAGTGACTGAATGCCATGCACAATAAAGCCGGTGTATTTTATTACCTACTCTTGAAACTTGTACAAAATGACACATTAATTCCGGATTTCTCAACCGGACTGTGTGTGTGTGCAACAGGAGAGTATTCGGGGAATGTAATGATACTACTAAGGATAAATTTGCATGTTTCACAAGCTGCCAGGTTTTATCAGTCTGGACAGCTATCTGGAAGGAAACAGAAATCGGAGTGTGCCCCCTATATCGCTCAGGCTGGTAGAAATCGTGATCACTTTTTCGTGAAACGATTGATGGTCAAGAGAAAAATAAGCGGGACGGAATTGTCTGAGTGCTTATGCGAGAAATGAGTGGG